GGTAGAGACTTGAAGGGGAATAAGCTTACTGGTCAAATACCGGATGAGATTGGCAACTGTGCTTCTCTTATGCATTTGTAAGAGTTATCCTTGATGTTTAACCTTTTCTATATTCGTCCTTGGAGTTTGTTTCTGTTCTGGTTTCGCTGAGTAGTTTGTGTTGAAACTGCAGGGATTTATCTGATAATTTCCTGTATGGAGACATACCTTTCTCCGTTTCCAAGCTTAAGAAGCTGGAGCTTTTGTAAGTGATATAATCATGGAGTGCCAGTAAGATTCATAAAAGTTCCTACAAACTAATCTGATTCTATTTATGCAGGAATTTGAAGAACAATCAGTTGACTGGTCCCATCCCTACAACTCTAACCCAAATTCCAAACCTAAAAACTCTGTGGGTTCTCTGCTTTACCCTTATACTAGTATGATTTAAAATTGAAAGCTTGTTATATTATATAGTAAAATTCAGCTTCCGACAATTGTTGTGCTAAGATGTGTTTTCACATAACATTTGGACTAATAATTTGTTTCTCTTTGGGTATGATGGTTTGGCAATTGAAGTGATCTTGCTCGGAATCAGCTTACTGGTGAGATTCCTAGGCTAATATATTGGAATGAAGTGCTGCAGTACCTGTAAGTGCCGTAAACATTGTTACAAGCAAGATTTCAATTTACAGTGATTCAAATTTATTGGTTGTGGTCAGTATATGATTATTTGTAGCAAGGCTGTAGTATATATGCTACAGAATCCTCAGTATTTCTGATTCTTTTGGTTGAAAATGACTTTACAGTGGATTGCGTGGAAACTCTTTGACTGGATCACTGTCACCAGATATGTGTCAATTGACGGGCTTGTGGTACTTGTAAGTGATCATACAACCTAAAGTCAACTGTTTTTGTGTCATTCTTTCTCTATCATTTTGTTCCTGTTATTAATTTTTTATTTTATTTTGTCCAACAGTGATGTTAGAGGCAATAATTTGACTGGTCCCATCCCCGACAACATTGGCAACTGTACAAGCTTTGAGATCCTGTATGTTGTCTTAAAA